CTAAACTGGATGCATCAAGCAGACGCCTCTTGGTGTGAGGGATTAGAGCAGGAGTGCCCTAAATTCCATTCTTTCGCTTGAGTTTTTTAAAGCGTTAACTTTTTCAAGGCTCACACCATCGCTTCCATGGCCTTTAGCAAATTCCACTTCCATCCAATTCGAACGAACTTCCTCCTTCTAATTTTAAATCAAATTTATGGAGTGGTCTTATTTTTAGTTCGGAATTCTGCGGGTCTTCCAAATTTGGCGCGGTGAATACCCTTTCTTAGATAATTTACGCACACTAGGATATTCGTCGTATCGGAGTTTCCCGCCGCTCCAAAATTTTCTATAAAAACTCTTATCACTGCACCTTGTGATAAAAGCTTTCAATCACATGGAGTTGAAAATCACCTCCCACCCAAATTGCGCACCTATTTTCCCTGAGAGTTACGCAGCAAGCTCTGAGCAGGAGCGCTGCAAAATGCCATTTTATTTCGTAAAATAAAAGCGGCTTTTTCCACATTTTATTGTGGGAGAATCCAGGAAACAGCTAATTGCAATTATCCACCTTATCGGGAATCGCGGTTAATTTGGGTGCGAATTAAAAGCGTAAAGTGCACAAAATTTCAGACTAATCTAAATTCAAAATTAATCCATTCATTCTGATGGAATTTTTTCGAAGATTTTATGTAGGATTTGAGTCGATTTTTTCCACAACTTCTGACACCTTATAGAATTTAGAGGTAGACGAAGATACTTTGCAAGGACCAATAATTTGGTGTCTTTTTTGGTCTGAATTTTAGCTCGACATAGTTGAACTTCTGGTCTCCTATGGTGCCGATATGGAGGCATCAACAAGAAGCGGTCAAACTGTTGACAGTAAGTTGGTCAGTGAAATCGTATATTGTCGTGCAGTGTGTTGATTCTTTGTCGAAGTAGGTAGAATTCAAAGAACACATATTTATGATTAGCATAGAGAAAGTTTAAGAAGGAGGGGGACTATTTGCATGACCCCAGGGTCATGCCACGTGCTGGATATCCAACACGCATGGATTCAAGTGCCTGTACAGTTAAGCACAGAGTTACACAATCTTTGAATTGCTACAAATAAATTCTATTCTGAAGAATCCGTGTAATTACATGTACACTTAAACAAATATAATATAGATGTTAAAAATCAAACCAAAATTTACCGTTCTATAGCCAAATTCCTGCCCTAGAACTCCCTTCATTTGCTAAGCACCCTTTTTGTCAATCCTTCATTCGCTCGTGCACTCATCTCACCTATCCATCCAACCACAGATTCCTTCACCTATTCCCCTCATTCTTATCCGTCATTCGAATCACCCGTGTACCTCTCAATCGTCTTAAATCAAGTATCCATTTACCAGCCCGATGCAGTAGTATTTAACTCATTTGTTAAGCTCTTTCTATTAGTAGAATGGTGACTGCTTGAGAAAATGAAGGTGTTGTGGGTTTAGGTGCAGCTAGCCGTAATGAGTAAGCCTAGATATTTTTGTAGTACATGACATAGCTATAGGTGACAAAGTATGCAAGCACGTCAGTCTGACGGTATTACACTCTCTATCATCATCTCAACAACCTCCCTCCTGCTCTGAGCCCTCACATCATGCGGCGCCAGTTTAATCCGGTGGAGGTGAATCAAGCGCGTCTGCTTGATACACCCAGTTTAA